ACAGGCGCGCGCTACCATGCCCGGCTGATTTTTTTATTTATTGTAGAGATGAGGTCTCGCAAAGTTGCCCAGGCGGGTCGCGAACCCGCGGGCTCAGGCGATCTACTCACCTCAGTCTCCCAAAGTGTGGGATTACAGGCTGAGCCAGAGTTCCGTAAAATTTTATATTGCTGACTGCTGGGTTTGTGGTTCAGGTTATTTGTCAAATAAAAGTGCTGTCCACTGGGTATGGAGGCTCACATCTGTCATCCCAGCATTTTGGGAGGCCAAGGCGAGAGGTTTGCCTGAGCTCACGGGTTCAAGACCAGCCTGGGCAACTTGGTGAGACCTCGTCTCTATAACAAATCAGAAAATTAGCCAGACATGGTGGCGTACGCCTGTAGTTCCAGCTCCTTGGAAGGCTGAGGCGGAAGGATCGCCGGAGCCCACCAGGTCAAGGCTGTGGTTGGCCGGGAGTGGCCACTGCACTCCAGTCTGGGCGACAGAGTGAGACTCCAACTCAAAAAAACAAAAGTGCTGTCCGTGCAGTTATCTGTAGCTTTTCTGACTAATTTGTAGTTAGGTATTAAGCAGCTGACCTCAACTGACATGTCTGGCTCACCTGAGCCCTTAGCCCAAGGGTCCCCTCTTGAAGGTCAGTGACTTTGCCATGTGTGAATGTTTGCCCAGATTTCACCATTTAAATCTCTTTATGAGCTTAGTTGTCTTCCTTCCTTCCTTCCTTCCTTCCTTCCTTCCTTCCTTCCTTCCTTCCTTCCTTCCTTCCTTCCTTCCTTCTTTCCTTCCTTCCTTCCTTCCTTCCTTCCTTCCTTTTTGACTCAGGGTCTCACTGTGTTGCCCAGGCTGGAGGGCCGTGGCACAATCACAGCTCACTGCAGCCTTGGCCTCCTGGGCTCAAGCAGCCCTCCCACCTCAGTCTCCTGGGTTGCCGGGACTACAGACGCATGCCACGATGTCTAATTGCTTTGACTTTTCTGTAGAGATGAGGTCTTGCTGTGCTGCCCAGGCTGGTCTCAAACTCCTGGGCTCGAGCAGTTCTCCTGCCTCAGCCTCCAACGTGGCTGGGATGACAGGCATGAGCCAGGTTTTCTGAAAACAAACCATCCAAGGTAGCCATCGTCTCTGGATGTTTGAGTCCTCCCCCTGGGGCTCTGTCCCCTGCGGGCCCGGGCTGTGTGTCCCCGCGTGTGCCCATTTGCAGGCGTGGCCTTGGACTTCATGGGTACTTTGAGCCTAGCCTGGGTCTTTGGGGCTGGGCACTTGTGGAGAAACATGAACTTTGTTCACCCGTGTTTTGTGAAGTGGCCTGAGTGGTTCTAACAAACCTGGTCATAATGAGAACGTCTTCCTTAGAATCTTTTCTCTAGCGGGCTGCTCCGTGTTATTTTATGATTTATTTATTTTGTTTTAAATTGGAGTCTTGCTCTGTCGCCCAGACTGGAGTGCAGTGGCCGCTCCCGGCCACTGCAGCCTCGACCTGCTGGGCTCCGGCGATCCTTCCGCCTCAGCCTTCCAAGTAGCTGGAACCACAGGTGTGTGCCACCACGCCCAGCTGATTTTTTTGATTTTTTTGTAAAGACAAGGTCTCGCCATGTTGCTCAGGCTGGTCTCAAACCCCCGGGCTCAGGCAATCTTCTTGCCTCGGCCTCCCGAAGTGCTGGGATGACAGGCCTGAGCCGCCACACCCGGCTGTTCCGTGTATCTGTCAGTACATGTGAAATGAGTCTGCTTCGTGACCTGTCTACACTGGCTGGTGGACCCCTGTTTCCTGCTGCTTGGTTACCTCCTGGTGGCTCCTGCTTGGTGTACACCTGACCTCTGGGAGTCTGCTTTAAGAGAAGCTTGGCACCGGATGCAGTGGCTCACACCTGTCATCCCAGCACACTGAGAAGCTGAGGCAGGAGGATCGCTTGACCCCAGGAGTTTGAGACCAGTCCGGGCAACATAGCAAGACTCTCGCCATAAATTAAAAAAAAAGAAAAGAGAAGCACGGGTGTCTCTGTGGTGCCTACCACATACTCCTGGGCCATGCTTTTCCAAACAATCTCTTGCTACTTGGGTATGAGATCTGCGATTTCTAGAAAAGTGGGATTTGCCACCTTGGAGAGCTTCAGGGATCATTCCCGTACTCTGCAGAGCAGGTGAGATGACGCTCCCTGAGGTGGCGTGCGTGGCCGAGGTCCTGGTGAATACCAGCGCTCTTGAGCACCAGGACTGTCCGTGACCCTGAGGCATCTTTGCTTTGGTCGGCATGAGGTGACCAGTTGTTCCACAAGTGTAGATCGTGCAGCTCAAAACAGGTCCACAGGTGTGCTCTCCCGGAGGCTTGACCATGACCAAGGGACAACACTGCTTTCCCTGGGGCTGACTCGGGGCCACACGCTTCAGCCCAGACACTGCTTACCGTTCCGAGAGCCATGAGCCAATCCTGAAACCCAGGGTCTTGAGGAAGTGGGGGCGGCAGGGGTTGACCCTGACCAGAGTGCGGGAGCACAGTCAGGCTGCGGTGTCACCGCCCCAAGGCGGGTCCCGGCCAGGGAGTGACACCAGGGCGGTGGCATCTCACAGCCTCTGTCAGTCTCGGTTTTGATTCTGCCTGGTTTTTACAGGGGGTTTCCTGCCTGTTTGCTAGATCCTGCATGTGTAGGGACAGAAGGTGGGCAGTGAAATAAATCGACACAGAAAATCAGTCAATATCAGGCCGCATCCACTTGAACGCTGGCTTTGAATCTTTAACGCGGTCTCGTGTTTGAACATGTCACTTTCTCTCTCCAGGGTATGGTGAAGGTCTTTTCGGGCCGGAAACCCATGCTGTACAGTTTCCAGACTTCGCTTCCGCGCCTGCCTGTCCCCACCGTCAAGGACACCATGAGCAGGGTGGGTGTGGCTTCGGCTTCCCGCTCTGAAATGTCCATCCTTTGTGGATTGAGGCTCGTGGCTGAATTCTGACCGTGAACTTACATTTGGCTAGATTAGTGCCAGAGTGTGCCTGGTAGGGTTGTGGTGGGAAAGCTTGTTTTGTTTTTTTTCCCTAATGAATCACTGCATCGTTGATTTTTTTTTCCCTTTCTCTTTCTCTTTTTTTCTTTTGTTTGAGTCATTCAGACTGGAGTTGGCCCTGGGACGGAGTGAGACCGTGCAGGGCATCCAGTGTGTGTCTGTCCGTTTCCTGTAGCTTTGTGTCCTGTTTCCGCCTGTCCAGAGGATGATTTTCTGTTGCGGTTTTTTTGAGTCAGAGTCTCACTCTGTCGCCCAGGCTGGAGTGCAGTGGCACGCTCACGGCCACCCCAGCGTCAACCTGCTGGGCTCCAGTAATCATTCCGCCTCAGCCTTCCAAGTAGTCGGAACTACAAGTGTGGGCCGCCATGCCTAGCTAATTTTTTTCATTGATTGTAGAGACGAGGTCTTACCAAGTTGCCCAGGCAGGTCGCGAACCCACGGGCTCAGCCAATTCACTCACCTTGGCCTCCCAAAGTGCTGGATTACAGGCTGAGTCACCGAGCCCGGCTGATTTTCTGTTTTATTCGTATGCATTTTATTATGAACAGGGCCTTTTTTCTTTTTTTTTTTTTTTTTTTTTTGAGTCAGAGTCTCACTCTGTTGCCCAGGCAGGAGTGCAGGGGCACGCTTCTGGCCACTGCAGCCTCAACCTGCTGGGCTCTGGCGATCCTTCTGCCTCAGCCTTCCAAGTAGCTGGAACTACAGACGCATACCGCCATGCCTGGCTAGTTTTTGTGATTTATTTTAGAGACGAAGTCTCACCAAGTTGCCCAGGCTGGTCTCGAACCCCTGGGTTCAGGCAGTCTTCTCGCCTCTGCCTCCCAGAGTGCTGGAATTACAGTCATGAGCCACCATGCCCAACTGGAGTGTCTTTCAAAAAAGTCACTTCCTACATACTTTTATGCCTGAGCATCTCTTCAACCCAAACGGCCAAAGGATGGGGGTGGGGGAAGTTGAAAATCCTGAACCTGGAGCCCTGGCCTTGGCCTTGGCCTGGTACCTTGGCTTCTTCCAGCCCCTCCTTCCCATCCTGCCCTAGCACCCGCCTGGCCCCGACACCTGCTCTCAGCACGACTCTGCCTCGGCCCATGGCCACCTTCTCAGGCCAGCGTAGCTCGTGTCAGGGCCAAATTGTGGAAAAGAGACACTCTTGAAATGTCCTTGTTGACTTTTCTTGTCAATTTTAGAATTTGGTGGTTTTATGGTCATGCAGGATTTGGGACGCCTTTTAATTTAAATTTAACATTTATTTAAATAACATACATTTATTATATATTATTTAAATGTTTAATATTTACATATTTAAATTTATTTAAGTTTCTTGGCAGAAACACTAACTCCAAGTACTTTTTTTTTTTTGTAGAGACAAGGTCTCGCCAAGTTGCCAGGGCTGGTCTTGAACCCGCGGGCTCAGGCAGTCCACTCGCCTCAATCTCCCAAAGTGCTGGGATGACAGGCTGAGCCACCCAGTCCGACCTAAGAGGGTACTTTTAAAGCCAATAAGGGACCAGGCGCGGTGGCTCACACCTGTCATCCCAGTACTTTGTGAGGCGGAGGTGAGAGGATTTGAGACCAACCTGGGCACCATAGCAAGACCTGGTCTCTACAATTAATAAAAAAATTAGCCGGGCATGGTGGTGCCTGCCAATAGTCCCAGCTACTTGGGGAAACCGGGGTGGAAGGATCACCTGATCCCAGTAGGTTGGGGCTGCGGTCGCCGTGAACGTGCCACTGCACTCCAGCCTGGGCGACGGAGTGAGACTCTTATCTAAAAAAAAAAGCAAGGGATGAAAAAGTTTAATCATTTAATTATCATTAACCAATAACACCATTGAGCACTCGAGTGTGAGTTAACTGGTCTAAGAATTGCTAAGACCCATTTGGAAAGGTTTTAAAATCTTTTAAGTATGTCACAACTCTTCTTAAGGCGATCAACATGCTGTCACTTGGTTGATTTTATTTTTTTTCCCTAACCCCAGTATCTGGAGTCGGTGAAACCTCTCATGAAGGAAGAAGACTTCAAACGGATGACGACTTTGGCAGAAGATTTTGCTGTTAACCTGGGACCCAAACTGCAGTGGTATTTGAAGCTGAAATCCTGGTGGGCCACAAATTACGTAAGTCTGTACACACTCTGGTTTCCTTGATGTGATTTTTCGGTGTGCCAACACCAATTTCAAGGGGCAGGGATCACGGAGCTGAGATGACTCCTGGGCTCAAGCAGTCCTCCTGCCTTGGCCTCCCAAAGTGCTGGGATCACAGGTGTGAGCCACCGTGCCCAGTCTGTGTGTGGACTTGTAACCTATAACTGGCCGTCTACAGAGACTCTTATCTGTGCCCCATTCTGCATGTGTCTGTGCTTCAACACAGAGTTAAAAACAGGGGTCCTGGGGTCAACAGGCTGTGCGTGGACGGCAGCTGTGGTTAGGAGAGGCCGGCCGCCTCTGGGTGGTGTCAGGATGTGTGTCCCGGGGAGCCAAGGCAACGCAGCTGGCTCCAGGTCAGTGCTGTGGTGGACTGACACAGAGGTTTCTTCATGGGAAGACGGGAGAGGGGAGGCAGCCAGAGACCAGTTTTGCATCATATTGGTGACTAAAGCAAGTTAATAGTTGCACTTTTATCACTAACTTTCCTTTGGGTCTTTAATAAAAAGTCTACAAAATGAAGGCAACCAGACACGGTGACTCATGCCTGTAATCCCAGTGCTTTGGGAGGCTAGGGTGGGAGGCTCGCTTGAGGCCAGGAGTTCCAGACCATCCTGGGCAACATACCAAGACCTCATCTCTACAAAAAAAAAAAAAAAAAAAATTGGGGGTGGATAAATCTTAATAAAAAAAGAAGCAATAACAATAACAAAACAAATAAAAATAAATTAGCAAGGCATGGTGGTGCTGGCCTGTAGTCCCAGCTATCAAGGAGGCTGAGGCAGGAGGATCGCTTGAGGTCAGGAGCTGAATCCAGCCTGGACAACATAGTGAGACCTCATCTCTACCAAAAACAAAAAGGCAGTTGTGGTGGTACACATCTGTAGTCCCAGCCACTCGGGAGGCTGAAGTGGGAGGATCACTTGAGCCCAGGAATTAGAGACTGCAGTGAGCCATGATTGTGCCACTGCACTCCAGCCTGGGCGGCAGAGCTAGAACGCTCTAAAAAAGAAAAAAAGGCCGGGCTCAGTGGCTCAGCCTGTCATCCCAGCACTTTGGGAGGCCGAGATGAGTGGATTGTCTGAGCCCGTGGGTTCGAGACCCACTGGGGCAACTTGGCGAGATCTCATCTCTACAATAAATAAAAAATCAGGCCGGGCTCGGTGGCTCAGCCTGTAATCCCGCGCCTTGGGTGGCCGAGGTGAGTGAATTGCCTGAGCCCGCGGGTTCAAGACCCACCTGGGCAATTTGGCGAGACCTCGTCTCTATAATAAATCAAAAAATTAGCTGGGCGTGGTAGTGCACACCTGTAGTTCCAGCTACTCGGAAGGCTGAGGCGGAAGGATCGCCGGAGCCCAGCAGGTCGAGGCTGCGGTGGCCGGGAGTGGCCACTGCACTCCAGTCTGGGCGACAGAGTGAGACTCCGACCCCCCCAAGAAAAAAAATGAGCTGGATGTGGTAGCACACGCCTGTAGTTCCAGCTACCTGGAAGGCTGAGGCAGAAGGATCACCAGAGCCCAGCAGGTCGAGGCTGCGGTGGCTGGGAGTGGCTACTGCACTCAAAAAAAAAAGTTTTGGGGAAGATATTGAAAACTGATTGTTAACAATAATAAAGATATGTAAGACAATAACAATAGCCGGGCTCGGTGGCTCAGCCTGTAATCCCGTGCTCTTGGGAAGCTGAGGTGAGTGGATTGCCTGAGCCCACGGGTTCGAGACCCGCCTGGGCAGCAAGACCTCATGTCTACAATAAATAAAAAAATCAACCAGGCGTAGTAGCACGCGCCTGTAATTCCAGCTACTCGGAAGGCTGAGGCGGAAGGATCGCCGGAGCCCAGCAGGTCGAGGCTGCGGTGGCCGGGAGCGGCCACTGCACTCCAGTCTGGGTGACAGAGTGAGACTCCAACTCAAAAAAAAAAAAAAAATAATAATAATAATAATAAAAATAAAACAAAGGTCACTTATCTTCTTTCTGATGGCCTTGACTTAAGAAAACACTTTCCATTGTCCACTTGGTCATGTTCCGTCTAGTGAGGCCTCGGCCCTTTTTTCTGGAAGGCCCCATTGACACGTGTCTGCCCCAGAGCCCCGAGCGCCCTTCCCTGCAGCTGTCCTCCGTCCCCACAGTCTGCCGGGCACCTGATCCAGGATCTGCCCTGTCTGTCCCCCTAGGTGAGCGACTGGTGGGAGGAGTACATCTACCTGCGAGGACGAGGCCCGCTGATGGTAAACAGCAACTACTACGCCATGGTGAGTCCCTGGGTCTGGGCGAGCTGTGTCATGGGGACGGTGGGGCCACATGTCTGTCCCCCAGAGGTGGCATCTTCACGGGCTCATGGGTTACCTGGAAGAGCCCGGGGCTTGACCCACATGCCTCTCGGATCTGCTTTCCAGATGCCCCGTGCACACCCCTTTGTGTCTGCATGGTAGCTCGGGGACATGGAGAAGTTTTGGCGGCAGCCAGGCGCAGTGGCTCAGCCTGTCATCCCAGCACTTTGGGAGGCGGAGGCGAGAGGATTGCCTGAACCGAGGGGTTTGAGACCAGCCCGGGCAACATGGCGAGACCTCGTCCTTCAATCAATCAAAAAGTAGCTGGGCGTGGTGACGCGCCTGTAGTTCCAGCCACTTGGAAGGCTGAGGTAGAAGGATCGCTAGAGCCCAGCAGGTCGAGGCTGCGGTGGCCGTGAGCGCCGCTGCACTCCAGCCTGGGTGACAGTGAGACTCCGACTCAAAAAGAAAAAAAAATTTTTTTGGAAGCAAAAATATGTCCATGGCAGACGGGAATTCCTCACTCTGCTGTCCTTGTTTTGCTATTTTCGTTACTTACACTGGAATTTAGTGCTGCACCGACCTTCAAGATCTGGGTCCCTGTGAAAGTCCCAGAACTCAGGGACAGTGTGCTGGACAAGAGTTTGCCACCAACATACCATGCTTCTGTGTGCCGAGACACCCGTGGGTTTTACATCGAGGGTGGTTTCATGTTTCTCAGTCTTCCTCTGTCTTTCGAGATGTCTGGGCATTGGACGAGCCCTCTGTTCGGGTCCTCAGCCGCTGTTCAATTATTAGTGAATAGGCCAGGCACGGTGGCTCACGCCTGTCATCCCAGCACTTTGGGAGGCCAAAGCAGGAGGATCGCTTGTGCCCAGGAGTTCGAGGCCAGCCTGGGCAACATAGCAAGACCTTGCCTCTATGAAAAAGTAAAAAAAATTAGCCAGACATGGTGGCATGTGCCTGTAGTCCCAGCTACTTGGGAGGCTGAGGCAGAAGGATCACCTGAGCCCAGAAGGTCTGTCGCCCAGGCTAGAGTGCAGTGGCACGTTCATGGGCACCCCGGTGTCGACCTGCTGAGCTCAGGCCATCCTTCTGCCTCAGCCTCCCGAGTAGCTGGGACTACAGGCGCATGCCACCACACCTGGTTAATTTTTTTGACTTATTGTAGAGACAAGTTCTCACTAAGTTGCCCAGGCTGGTCTCCAACTCCAGGGCTCAGGCAGTCCTCTCACATCGGCCTTCCAGAGTGCTGAGATGACAGGTGTGAGCCACCATGTCCAGCCCAAATGATTATTCTAACCGTTGGGTACTTCTCATTCAGAAAACTTCCTAATTGTCTGATCACTCCCTGACTTTTATTTCTGCTTTCCTTTCTGCATTAAGTAAGGGCATCTGGGGGCAAAATCCAATGATCCATCAGGACCCAAGAATACTGGGGGATTTGTGTTCTTCTAAAATGTTAGCAAAATAAAATGGAAAAAAGTGTAGAAAGCTAAATGACCACTTATTTTGTCACTTGTCACACAGTAGGCGTCACTGCACTCACCCATAGAAGCGTTTTCCCAGGGCAGAGCACACACCACATGGTGTTTAATTCGCTGACGTCCTCTGCACCTCGTTTTTCCCTCTCCAGGATCTGCTGTATATCATCCCGACGCACATTCAGGCCGCCAGGGCAGGCAACGCCATCCACGCCATCCTCCTCTACAGACGCAAGCTGGACCGGGAAGAAATCAAACCGGTATGCAGACATGTTGCTTCTTCTTTTATTTTTTAGAATTGCATTTAGCCGGGTGCAGTGACTCAAGCCTGTCAGCTCAGCACTTTGGGAGGCCAAGACGGGAGGATCGCTTGAGCCCAGGAGTTCGAGAACAGCCCGGGCTGCTTGGCGAGACCTCTTCTCTACAATAAATCAAGAAAAATTAGCCAGGCATGACGGCATGCGCCTGGAATTTCAGCTACTTGGAAGGTTGAGACGGAGGGATCGCCGGAGCCCCAGCAGGTTGATGCTGGGGTGGCCGTGATTGTGCCACTGCCCTCCAGCCTGGGTGACGAAGTGAGACTCCGACTCAAAAAAATAAATAAATAAAATAAAATTTTATTTATTTTTTGAGTCAGGATCTCACTCTGTCGCCCAGGTTGG